ATAAAAAAATTGATCTTTTGCAGCATGCTCTTTTTTTACATGGTTATTCATGTAAAAAAACTGCAAATAAAATTACGCCCAACCAACTCAACTTTACCCATCTGTTCATAAAGTAAAAATAAATAGCCTGTGAATTTTTCACGTGGAAATGACAAAGCACTCTTTATGAGTATTTTTGTACTTGAAAGTTGTTTGATATTTTTTCATATCCATTAAACCCTCATTTTATCGTAATGGAACATCATCATCAGTTTCAGGCATTTTCAATGTTTTACTTTCTCGATTTACTTATTACTGACAATAATTCTATTGAAATTAAAAAAAAAACGTTTAATTATAGTACATTAACTTATTTTTTTTAATTTAAACGTATATCAAGTTATTACAGGTCATAAATAAGTAGATCTTGAAAAACGTCATACTAACCTACGAGAAAGAATAATTCAATACTCTACATACTTACATTTTTGATGATTTTACATTTTTTCAATACAATATTTTACTATTTTTTTAAATAGACTTACTTATTATTGTTTCAAATAACTAAAATTTATCATAATCTGGAGTTACCGGATCACTGAATACTGTTCAGTACAGAAACGCGATGCTAATATAATACTATCCACTGAATGTGCTTCAAACCGTCGAAATTGTTTCCAATGATCCGTAGTTTCAACTTTATGCCTGTACGTTACATTATGCATTCAATGGACTATTTGAATAGATTATAAGGACTTCAAAGTTACAAATCTGATCACATTTTTGTTTGAACAATAAGTATTGTTACTTTATATAATGAAAATATAGAAATGAAACGATGAAAAATGGAGTATAGGTAGTGTATCTGACCTGCGTTCTCCAGTTTTACGGTTTCTTAGTAGCTTATTCAAATTACAATCCCGTTTAATATGAAACCAAATCATCAATATTCATAAACGTTAGTTCTTCTTCATATATCTTAATTTGTTCCAATACACAGATCATATCTACTAAATATTTTCAATGAATCACAGTTGTAATCACCTATCGAACAACTAAATGTTTCATACTGCTATCAATTGTACCTACACATATTATATTGTAGTCTTTTCGTTCATCTGCCGATGCACTATTTCGTAAACACATGTTTGCATTTCTCGCGATATCATTAGATAGTTAAATAACGAATAAACAGAAAATAAAGTTTTAGATAAGCTATGGAAATTTTGTTTATACTCGCCAGAAAGATCTTCATTCGATGCGTTTTGATAGTTCCGTAGTTCTGCCCTTTAATGCACCAAACACCTAAAACGTATAATAAAACGACTAAGCCACCCGTCAAGCCATGAAACTGAGCATTACTGTCAGCCGGTCGGCCGAGTGTCAAGCTCTTTTATAGACGCTGGTAATTCTCGTTCACAACTTATTTACTTCCACTCCTTGTTTGAATCTTGATAGATGACTTTCAATACACCGGTAGGAGTCGTTGCCCCGGTCTTTCTTCCACTATTCCTCAAGAGAATATCTCGTCAGTGTACTTATATAATTAAAAATAATTGTTTAAATTTCAAAGCACTCAATTCTTCTTAAATTTTGAACTCTTATATCCATTGAAAGTTTTTACAAATCGTAGTCATCTTTATCTATATACGTGTGCATGCGTGCGTAGATACGTGTATGTATGTGTGTGCGCGTATGTGTATATGTATTCATCAGTGATTCGTAATCTATTATTTGAGTATAATCCACTATCCATATTATAACTAATAGAAGAAATAAAATAACTGTATTTATGTAAAATATTACCATAAATTTGTTTAAGAGGAAACTACATATTTTGTAGCTTCTATAGTTAAGATCGATACCAATGAAACTCGATCAGCCGGCTTCTATCGATACCTCTTTTGTGCAACATGTTTTTGAATAGTAGTTCTCACTTCCTGCAACCTATATAAAGTCAATATATCGTTACTTTTTTAAAGAATATAATTAGAAAAACTGTAGTTGTTGAAATAGTATTTACATTATATAGAAATAATATTAATATGCCTTGAACAGTCCTTTATAATTATTGCTAACTTGGAAAAATATAAAATAATCAGCTATTGAATCAAAGTTGAAAATTTGTTTTTAGTACCTTAATTAATACAAATATAGCTTGAAAATGATTCTTTGTAGTATTTTGTCTAATATTGTTAAAAAATTATTTGTTTGTAAATATTCATAAAACTATACACCTGTGTATACCGTTAACAATTAATTTATGTAATTTTCTTGGTATCTGTGGTTTTGAAAAAAAAACAATAAATAAAAAATTATTATAATTATAGCTCAAACTCTCAAACTCTACTCAAATCCATTAAGTAAATAAAAACAAATCGACTTTTTTTATTAAAAAATTAATTTAATACAGGTGTTTCATTTAAGAATATACTTCTATATATATTTTTGTTGTATAATGTAATACTGTATAATTTATGATGAAAACTTTATTCTCCAAAATCCTGCTTGCTATGCATCACAAAAGTCGAGCGCCAAGCTTTGCCAATTCATTCCTAATGTATGACGCGACCCCGCAAAAGCGAATTCGTTCGAGCGGGACAAAAGAGTCAAGCCGAAAAGAATTTGAAGTACTTTTTGTATGAAAAATCGATATACGAACTATGAAGATTCCAATCGAAAGATGTCAAATTTTAATGCAAAGCTCATCGTATTATTGAAGCTTCTATTGAGTTACATAGAAAACTAATCGATGAGTTTGAAAAACTAATAAAAAAAATAAATGATGGTAAAGTTGTACAACTGCCCACGTACGACGCAAAAAGCTCAATTCAAGGTAGCTTACAGCATAAAAAAGAACATACGCGAGAGCGGTAAAATCATGCGTAAGCGGAATGTCTCTTTCGAATCAGATTTTACTTCGACGATTTTCAGAAAGTATAGGCAAGCAAAGACGTACCTCAATGCGCATATCTGATATCCAGACAAATATTCTATGTGAGGCAGTAGCTGAAAGAATACGTGAGACAAAAGAATACATTTTCTGCAAAGAACTTGTGTTTACTCAGCCACACGTTATGCATCGTACGAATACAAATTGTTTTTACAGGAAATATTCTTTGAATTCTTATTTTTCCATGCCCATGTTACATCTTTTTCAAAATTAGTTGACTTTGAATTTCAATATAATTTTAATATTTCAATATATTTATATCAAAATATCGATGAAAATATATTCTCTGATGTTTCTGCCTCAATAATTTGATTACACAGATCCGCATGGTTTTGTTGCTGGTCAACTGAAGGTAATTTTCGAAGTAATTTTTTGTGTAGAATTCAAAAAAAGGTGGTTTTTGATATATTTAAGGTTCCGTAACATCGCAAAAAAATTTTTTTCTGAAAACTGGGAGAACCATCATAAGAGTTTTTTTACCCTTTAAACTCCATATTTAAGATTTGAGATATCTTTTTTTTTCATCGAGATATCGTTGATAGAAATCAAGTATTTTAGCAGTTTCGAAACAGCTAATTACCCGGATACGCACATGTGGCATATGCAACACCAGATTCTTGTATCCTAAGTTTCTCAACCCTCGAGCCCTGTATCCTGCGACGACATAATGCCACATCCTGGAGGGTTGAGGAAATTAGGGTATAAGGATCTGAGGTTACAGCGCTGCAGGTTACAGGGGCCGAGGGTTGAAAAAATTAGGATATAAGGATCTGGTGTTATAGTCTTGCATATGCCATAATTCGAGTAATTTGCTATTACAAAATTGTTAAAATACTTAAAAAAATTTCTATCAATGATATCTCAATAAAAAAAAAGATATCTTAAATCTTAAATATGGAGTTTAAAGGGTAAGAGAAGACCTTTCAGATATAAAATATACCAAAAAACCGCCGTTTTTGCTCTTTTAGGTTTAGGATATCTGAAAAGTCTGACGTTCTACACAAAAAATTACTTCGGAAATGACCTTCAATTGGCCAACGACAATTACAACCTCTTATTTTGCAGATTTATGTTATCAATAAAGTTGAGAATACAAAATAGATATTCATTCATTTGAATAGCTCAAAACCTATAAGCAAATCGTGTCATCTTTCATCTAAAACTAAAATTTCCATAACCAAATGCATCTTGTTATCCTCAATGTCTATTAATATTTCATGTTAGATTCTTGGTCTTTCCCTTGATCTTGGCTAGCGAGAGTAGCGGCGACGGCGTGAACCACTGCATTTTACATGCCCGTGGTATCGTGCGCATCGTATAGTGATCCTTTTCCTTCTCGAGCCCACGGTGAATAGCATCGACATGTATAATTTGGCAAAGATCCCCGAAGTACATCGGTGGCGAGGAAGAAACGCATAAACCAAATAACCTCCATTTAAATATCAAAATACCTACATGCACCTTAGCTACACACATAGACACACAAGAATATGTGGGAGTTGTTATCGAAAATGGAGGTGCTGATTTAGTGAGAGGTTAATTGAATTTCTAGCAGAGTTTCGGTTGCATTACAGAGCAATCTACGCTCACGAGGTCCTATTGCCCTGTTCAACGAGCAACTCGCGCGCGTCCCGCCCAGAGGCAGATCTCTGAGTACAACTTAGTTATATGCGCGGATTTCATTCACCACCCTTGTACTTCTATTCGTGATGGCGTGCCGTGTATTTTCTTATACTGCCGAATAACTGCGACGCTCGATACGAGCAGCCCCGATTTATTCATAGATCGGTAGCTTATATCGTATTATCACCACTGCTGCATCGAGCGAACTTTGATGTTGTTTAACCGCAGTTCTGTTCTGATCAAATGAAATAGAAATAGTGCGTTAATAGGTTGATGAACATGTTCGGTTTTGTCATTATTTTATATGCCGCATGATCTTATTAATTACTGAATATTTTTTATTCACAATTTGAAACGTTCTAGTATCTGTATCAATGTTATTGAAATAAAACTACTAGGCATCATGCTTATTTTCATTTCATTTATTATTCAAAGTTTCTTTTAAATAGCCCTTATAAGCTAATACCTCTGTGAGTATAGGTTTTATTTGTTTCAAATATAAGTAAAAAATTCCTGATGTGCATAATTCCCGACTTGCATCTGTGACAATTAATCTACGACAACATCACTATCTGTATCACTAGTCTATATTACTTAAAGAGGTTTGATCGTCATGTAGATGAAACTTGCTTAATAAATGAAACCGATGAGAACACCGTCGTTTATCATTTCTATACCAGTAGCGATCCAGATAATGAATTGCTTATAATTATACATAAAAATTCAACTAGATATGTTAGAAATTAATAGTAAACATTTTTTTTAATTAGTCGTTAAAAAATGAATAAAAAATACAAATATTTGTTTTCAAATATTACAAAAACGTATGACATAATTAAAAATCTATATCTTTACCTATTTTTCCAAGATAAAGTAGCGCAGCTGAAAATAATTAATAGAGAGTATAAGGCAAGTACAAGCAATCATTTTTCACTTAATTGTCTCCTTTTTCCTATCTTCCCGCTATTCATTTCTTTTCACGCTTGGTGATGAATTATTGCTAATAGAGCTCATTGTAGAGAGCTAAGAGCATCGCAATCATTTTATGAGAATGTCCTGCCGCAGAAAATTGCGAGCTTTTTGCACAGCTGTCTAATGTAGTGACCCAAGAAATGTTACAGAAAGGCCTGCACCAGTAATTACGAGTCCTTCTTTACGTTTATTTTCCTTGCACAAAATTAGTTATATTTTCTTCTTTTTTTACAAAGCATATTCTGCGAAACATCAATAATTTAATTTATGTGGGTAATAAAACGCTAATTTTTATTTAGAGCTACTGTAAGAAATTGCTGGAAAATTTTGCGTTCCATTTGTGCGACTGGTTCAGCAATAAAAGTTTATTTAAGTGGTTAAAAATTCAGTTCTCTACGGCTTATGATCAGTATAAGAACTAAGTAATGTTTAATGATCAAAGAATACTTATACAATTTAGAAATCTTCAACATAACGTTTATTCATACAAAATAACTATAATGTTTTTTGGAATGTGGAAAGTTGAGCAAATATTGTAAATATTCATAAATGTTAGATATACGTATTTTTATCGAAAAATCCGATATTAAAATGCAAAAAATAGTCAATTAAAGTTTACGATTCTAGGCATTCACAATATCCATTTTCTGTGCATAAAGGTCTTTTACGATGTGGAGACAACGAATCTGTCCTACATTGTCTCCAGCAGTCTTCCTCGGAGAAGCATATTTCTGAAAAATAAAAATTATGAATACCATCTAAATATATTCTGAATTCAGTTAATATTTTTCTATTGATGATTACGAATTGCTTCACCGCATGAACAATAACCATTCAGACAGAATGCCTCTTTTACTCCATAAGCAATAACGTCAGGCTCTTGACAGTATGGAAAACAATCTTTTACATTGGAGCATTTATCTGTAAGAAAACAATTTTGTTAACTCATGTAAATATAATAAGTGTTGAATGCTGAAGTGTAAATGACCTACAATTTTTTTTATTTTAAGTATTTATAATTATAAGTAAATACATTGAACTATCTTTTTATTCTAAATAATTTTTTGACAATTTTCTAACCACGGGACGGTAGATTTCAACCTATCATAGCTATACAACTATACATATTTCAAAAATAATTCACTGTTGATAAATAATAAATTCAATTTTTACTTTATTGAAAATATATTTTTAACATTTTAAACTTTTACTTTTTTATTTAATATTTCATTACACAAAATGTTCTCTACTTACGCCGTGCATCAGTCATAGACATAATTGTAATAAAAGTGAACAGAAAATAACTTTTCATTATTGCGTACTTAATAGAACGGATGAGTTCTGAAGACTGACTTTTTAAAATCATAAAAGCTTTTACATTGAATAATGTCACGTCTCTCACATTATCAAAACGACTACTGACCTCATGCCATTGAGCAATAGCTTTTCAATGAAATAATCTTGAGTTAACTGGACTGTACAAGTAAACAGTTTTATTATTAATTAGAAAATAATTTTATGAATTGATCTATTTTATCGAATGTAAAATTAAATTGTAAGATGTTTAATCGTATGAAAAAAAATTTCATTTTAAAATGAAGTAAATTTTGATGAGATTATTGTAAAGAAAATGTGAGTTGAGAAAAAGGTCAAATCAATATTAAATAATTGAATATACCTATAAATTTTAACGTTTATCCTAGCAGTGGAATAATGAAATACTTTTAAATGATTTGATGGATATTTTAAATTTACTATTTACGGCTTTCAATATTGAGATATCTTTATGGTAAAGAAAAGTTCAAATAGTCAATCGCATTATCTGTATGTCTACTTGAAAGATAAAAGTTTTTGAAAACTCTTTGCTGAATCGACATTTAATTAGATGAAACTTAACATGTGAAACAAATTTCAGAATTAAGTTCTCGTGTTATTTCTTCTAAAAAAATAAACTACAATTCGATTAAATAAAATTGTTATTATATCTATTAATATACCATCCTACAGAAGCTATGTTAAGAATGCTAATACCAATGCTATGAATAATAGCTAACCTATGTTTTAGCTGTTATTCATTAAAACACAGTAGTCAAGAGTGAATGCTATATTTTATTGTAGGGTCTATCACTGATATTTGAGATTGCAGTCTTTCAGTATTGCAAATATCTTTCGACTAAAAACTTACATTTTTACCATTTTACTTTTTGGATCATACATTTTCAATCCAAAAAGAAAATGTACTTTTTGAAATTATGTAATTACACAGGAAGGCTTTAGCCTTGTAGTCGAAAAGCCAAGTATTTTCACCTGTGGTGTAGTTGCATTCACCATTTCTGGCTGAAAGGAAGTAATGAGCGACTGGTATATCAAGTTCGATCGTTGCTCTTTTTCCGTCGTGTTTTTTATTGCTGTTAGTTTTGAGCGACTTCGCCTTGTGTCTATCATTGGACAAGTTCAAGATCAAGTTAATTCACTTTCGAACGCAGCGAATCGACTATTCGATTGTGATCGAGGAAACGGATGCTGGAGCGAGCACTTTGGGTATGTGGATAGAATTCCATTGCGTGAAGCACTATTAAATATGTCTCACAGTGTATGACGAGTTCGTTTTCTTATGTTTTTATCGTGCTACTTGATTTCACTTTTTGCACTCTTTAACCGCTTAATCAGGAGGAATTGCAATCTTGAAAATGCAGAAGTACTGATAAAATGAAATATTGGAGCGTTAGCATTCAACACAAATAATCATGCATTCTTGTTCTTGATTCTACTAGATTATTTTTTCTGTCTATCTCTTAATATTCTTTAAAAATGAGAACTATCATCATGCCCTATATCTCAATCATTAATAACATGTTATTTACTCAAGATTAATTCATCTAAAAAATCCATCGTCCTTCGGATATTCGCTTAATTCGATATTACCAAACTCTGATGAGTACGCAGAGACACTGAATGTCATTTGAAAGTTTGCGCATTTGAGAACTGAAAGAATTAAGAGTTTTAAGCCACATCAAGATTTTAACTAGCGCGATTGAAATCCATAAAAACTTTCGTTTAATACCGGATTTGCGTTTTCTCCGATGCACTTGCGTGATAATGATACGCGTTATCTGCAAAGCTGCCCGGTTTAGTACGCCAGTGTTCGGACGACCTCACGGATTAACAAGCTAAATCGCTAAAGTTGAAAAATCCAGTATTTGTTTTCGAAATTAAGAAGGATAAGTTATGACTATTATGAAAATTTCTTTTACTTTTTATTATTAATTTTAATGTCCATAACATCTACATATCACGATTTAAAATTACTGAAAATTTTGGTTAGGACTATTGTGAATCTTTGTATAAATTTTGTTCTTCCAAGAGAGAGTTTTTTTTTTTAATTTCTTTGCGCGATAAGTGTACAAATTAATAAAAAAATATTTATTTATTATAAAATTCACATTTTTCAAAATTTAAATAGTTGAAAAGTGAGATAAGTAATGGATTTTCATTTGCAAATCTCTTTTTAATTATTGTAACAATTGCTCACATTGTCCGTTGAATTTGTTCTTAAAAGTACTAAGTAGATAATAAAAAATGCGCCTATGAATAAGAGTAGTGGACAAAGTTTAAACAAGACTTAATGAATTCAATGACTTGTGATATTTTTCAGTTAACTACACTCTTTCAAGCTCTCAAGGTTCGACTGCTCCATTCGCTTTAAAAAATAAACCTAATGCATTATAAATGCAGGTGAAAGGAAAGACTCCCAGATCATGGACTAATTTTAATAGCAACTTGGACGATGGATTACTTCCTGCGACTAATTTTGTGAATTTGATTAGTGCGAGGTATTTTTGATATCTTGTTAGGTATCCTGCTAAAAGCAGGCTGCAATATAACTTTTGTCTACTAAGTTACTAAAAATTATTATACTATGAACTATTTGTTTATATTTTAAACCATGAATTTATTATGTCACTTAAATAACATAACCAATTTCATGGGGAGCCAATGTTTGTTAGTACGACAAGCCTTAATCAGTACTGCGATGTTTCGATTAATTAAAACTATTACTACTCTCGTCCACTATCCTATACAAACTTATTTCCATGTCACTCGCTTAAATGTAATTAATTTACGTACTTTTCATTTGCGTAAATTAAAAGTATAATAAAAATAATTTTATGAAACAGAAAATTAACACTCTATTATATAAAAAAAAATGATGATTTTTGCATTATCATAATTTTATATGCAAATCGTATCATATATGTTATCAATTACACCGTAATGAAAAATGAACTTTCAGGTTCAAAATATATAAATACAAAGTAGTAATAATCTTACGGTTAAATTTGAATTTTCATTCAAATCACCGTAGTAAATCTTTTTCCGTTCGACATCATAATATAGTAAATCATTCGATAACACGTCCTATTTTATCAAGTATCGCACTATTGGAAAAGGAAAATTGTCGATCGACTGTAGCTACGCATTATTAGAATGGACATTGCAACAGCCGATAAAACAGAGCATTATCAATGGTAGCTGTAGTTTAGCCAGTGAGCTTCTGTTCCCATATAGGAAAAAATTTTTGTTGGATTGTCGTCATGAGGCGTCTGGCGCGAGGAGAGACAAGAAAAAGAGCAAAAACGAAAGACGCACTCGGTTAGTCGAGCGCGTGCGCGTGCGCTCTAAACAAAGTAGATAGGGACGATATCGAGCTAGCTAGCCAGCTGGGTCTGCGTCTGTTTTTGATCTGACGTCACGCGTCAGTTGAGCGTCGTTCGGCAAGCGGACCAGTCCAACGCGTACACACTATCCACAAATCGAAGAGTTGCAAGCTGCCAACGACAGCTAAAACCAAAAAGTCCTTCCCGACAACAATATATAGCTACCGGATAGCTGCTGCAAGAAAGGATGCGATAACGGGAATCCATAAACTGACAGAAGGGGCAGCAGTGCCGGTGAGTTTTTTTGTACATATAACACTTGGACATGCATGTCACGTTGCATCCGAATGAGAGAGGCGAGCTGCAGGACCTCGCAACGCGCTGCTTCATAGATTGAATTTCCATTCGCGTGATATCTTATTTAAACTTCACTCTTGTTTGTTTTCAACACGATCAATATTGGATACTAGATTTTGGATGTCGGAACTTTTCATATGCCAGCATATGTAAAATATTTTATGTTGCTATTCCCCTAAGATTATTTTATTTGCTTTCAATATTATATAGATTATCAGTGGATGTAGACAACAATAAAAATTCGAAAGCTTTAAAATAAAAATTTAATCTCGTTTCCAAGGTAGCGGGAAAAGATTACATTCGATTCGAGAATTAACGGAGGTACGATTAATTCTTTATAAATGAAACTTCTTTCTATACACTGATCTATCTCTGAAATAAACTCGTGGCGCGTAAATGTTTCACGAAACGATAGAATGTTTCACAGTTCAATCAACTGTACATAGATCCGGAAAATCAAATATTTTCTTGTGGAATAATTTATGTTATATGATAATCAGGCTTACATGCTTTATATGTTTGAGTTCTTTTATTCTTGTTTGTTTTTTTAATTTATCGTAACAGATACATAAATTGACGCTTTTTCTTTCAACAAATCATAAAAAAATTTTCGTTATTTAATAAAGTCCTTGAGTTGCCAATACGATATAATTCATCTTTTTTAAATAACGTTTATTGCAAAGAATTGTTAAAGATTTTTTTAATACGCAAGTCAACGAATTTTTGGCACTGGGAATTACGCGGTGTAATCTAGTCAGTTACAGTATGGAAGGAAAGAATGAAAACAATCGATCAAAATCTCAATAACACTCGAGCTAGAGTTGTTATTATTTTTTTTAAAAGATTTGGCCTTGAAATATATAGGTATAATATAGTAGATTTTACGTTTAGTCAATGCAAATTTCAATAAAATATTGATTCTACAATTTTCAGGAGCCAATCGTCTATTTACATAAGCTTATTTTGATGTGCTACTTAATTTAACTTTCACGGAAAGAGCTTCCAAAATAATATTTAATAATCTTAAATGACGAATCTCCAAATAAACTCGAAATCTGTGAAAAGGAAACAAATAAAGAGAATAGTCAAAATTTTGACGAAAGTTCTGCTGAGTAATCAGGTCGTGAAGTATTTCCTGAACCAGTGCAATTTCAAGGATAGCCATGTGACCACTGTGCTCTCTATCTCTTGCATTGGTCCAAGTACATCGGTTCTTCAACGACCCTCCTCCCGCGCGTTTACTGAGAACTCGGTCAAAATTATTTTTAGGCTCCTATCAACATTCTATATACGTGTGTACTGCTCCCATGATGCAAGAGCTAGTGAGTCGCGAATTTCATCAAGTCAAGCTTTTTCCTTTGAGCATTGCCGTGGAAACTGTCGTGCCACCTGCACTATGCATTACGTGTGCTATTGAATAGAATGAATTTCAGCTACGTAGCTGCCTATACTATTATTTTATAGTAAGGCATTTTCTAATCAATTTCAAGTCAATAATTATTTGGTTTAGAAAGTGTAAATAAATTATCAACTACAATTAAGCACGATACGGATTTTCTTCAAAATAGTATAAATATTAGCTTAATTAATCACTTGATAAAAGTAATACACACAATTAACTGATGGATTACAACTGATTATTTTGCATATAAAATACTTTACAAAATTCTTGAAATAAACAAAAATGGTAGAATTATTAATAAAAAATTAAGGGTTGCATCCCTTGTAGTCGGAATTGCATGCACTAGTTCTACATTTACATGAGAAGTGAAATTTAATTGTAAAATATCAATTAGAACTTGAGATAAATTGTAAAATTCATTTTTGAAAGTGGACTTTGAGGGCGGATATCACCCTCTTGATGTGTTTTTCCGTTTATAAAAAACACGTGTTACTTTACTTATTTTTCTATGATTTACAACATATCAAAAGAATATTAAAATCGGTGAGATTGGGTTGGGGGGGGGGGGATTCTTTGTTAGTGCAAAAACATTCATAAGTGTACGCGTGAATCTATGAATGACATTTGCCTTGATGACGGTCAAAAGCTTTCTGACTGAGAGAGCTGAACTATTAAACCTTTTTCTTCCTACGTCCTTCGCTCTCTCGTTTCAGATTCACAGATTAAGTGTGTATTTTTTTTTGTTTTCTGTTAGCGTAGAGACGTAGTTTATTATACCACACTCATTGCCTATAATTCATTTTATTTCGATGATGCCTTGTAAGGTGTTGCTTCAAGTTGATTAGTGGAATTTAATTTTAATAATTTTCCTTCTCGGTTTGGAACCTTTAGAACTGGATTTCTGATCCGTAAAGATACATATCATTGCGTGCATCGATTTTAGTGATTCATGTGAACATACGGCAAGCTTAAGAAGCGAAGATGAAAAATTTTCTACAACAATTGCGACTTAAAATTTCAAAAAGTATTTCAGCAAAACTATTCGGAATAACAATGAAGTCATTCTCACGTAAATAATTTTCATTGTAAATCTAATTGTGCAATTATCTTATACTGGAATAAAAGAAGTGTGATCGATTGAGAAACGACATTTCTGTGAATGTAGAAATGTCTATAAAATCTTCGATTGCTCGTTCAACCCCTTGGAAAGAGAAGTAACAGTTAATTAAAAAAAAACAAAGAGGCCAAAGGTGAAAGAGTAAACGTAAATGGCTCACGTTTGAAGAATATATAGAAAGAATGGAGCCAAACTTCCGGCACACCCTGACACCTAAATCAGCAAGAGCGAAAACATGTTCGGCAAATAGCTTTACGCTATCCGTTCCGCCTTTAATACATTAATGCGACTGCATGGTCAATTTCAGAGATAAAATTGTTCTTCTTCTGTTACGGAATAATGAAAATAATCTGAAAGTATTAAAAACACCACTAAAAATAAGTCACTCGCAACTAAACGAATTCTTATAGATATCTATCCGTCTGCAATACATCAAACTTGTAAAATTTTTATATTATAACTGTAATAATCCATTCAAGAATTTCTAAAGTTAATTGTTAACTATATATATTAAGGGACTAGAAGAACTTGTTATTCGAATTTGCTAGTTTAATAAATCTTTATCGGTACAAAAATAGACGTAGAGCAGTTATAGATTGAATCAGAACGCTAATCAACACAAAAATATTGTTGTTACTAGTAACCCATAACTATGTTTTTGCATTATTAATCTATTGAAACTTTAAGGACGTACGAAAGTATTTCTGAAATTTTGCTTTCATTTACGCGGCAAAAGGAAAAGCTCTTTCTTGTAGTCCATGTATTGAAAAGAGAGACAAAGAGAGACAGAGACAGAGAGACAGTGAGAGAGAGAGAGAGAGAGAGAGAGAGTGAAACTCGAAAAACATTATACTCGTAATTTGGTGGGGGAAAATCGGTTGTGCTACTGAATTTTCGCAAGCACTGAATTTTCGTAAATCTAACTTGTCAGAAGTTCAAATGGAAAAGGAAGGAGATAGACAGGAAAACGTGTATGTAGGAAGATTCTTGAACACAATACATCAGCAGTATCGAGATATTGAGGGAATGGTACTGAGAACACATGAAAACATTTATGATAGAACAATTTATTAATCAAGTAAGCTGTTATAATAGTCGAACCGCGAACGTACTAATCTATATAATTCTTACGAATCATCTAATTTTTCTAATGTATAGTGTGAAATTAATAGTTTTACAGCTACATTTATTCACTACGACTGTTTCAATAAAGGAGTTTAAATCTTTTTTAAACTTCCTGTTTAAAGAGTATTTCGGAGAATATTGAGAAGTGTTTTTAAATTGTAACTCTCATCATCATGCACGAAGATGTATGGAAAGATTTTGACCATGTATCTAAAAGAAAATTTGGCTTTGAAAGCAATCTTGAATCTACATATCGACGATTCTACAAAAAGATTTAAAATTCAAATTGATACAGAAAGCCTTTTTAAGCGTGTATCATCTGAGTTTTAAATACGATACTAGGTATTTCACATTCAGTATAAGTTAGTCCATCAAACGTAAGTAAATAATTTCAAAAAAAAATTCTTTCAATTAACTTAATAATACTTGTTAATTCTTGTACATTTAGACAATGTTACAATGAAATGAAGTTTTATTATATCAACAAAGTTTAATTATACTTGGTACTCTGAACCTTTCCAACCATCTTCTCTAATAGTACAGTTCATTAAATCATCAAAAAAATTGACTGACAAAAGAATATCATAAGGAGCTCTATGGTAAAACTTGTGTTATCGAATGATTCTTTGTATTTCGACTATAAATCACCTGGCTATAAAAGCAGTAAGATAATAAGATACCTTTCAATTATTCAATGATGGCCATTTTCGTTTTACTTTGTCAAGCTATTTATAATTACTGCCAGTCTCAATGCGCGTTTAATATCTATCATCTCTGTTAGATATTAATATTATATAATTCAACCCAACAAAAATTGGTAAATACTAGTAGTGCCATTATTAGCATTCTATTTTACATTATCTTGAAAATTTGTTCGAATAAATTATTTTTACAGTTTGATTAAAGAAAATTTGATTTATGACTTCGGAATTATAAATAATTGAAATGTCGTATTGTACAATACACGAGACAGTTAATAAAATCGATAAGTCGATTAATTATTTACAATTTTTGCACCCAATTCTGGTGTTGTGTCAGCAACCCAATCAAATGTCAAATACTTCATCTTTAACTGACCGGTCACAATGAAGAGAGGTTTCATTTTTTAGTACTTTCTTTTTCGAGGTAGAAACATATCTAAGCAAATTTTGTCAAATATTGAAATATAAATGTATGTTCAAAAGTGATAAAGTCAATCATATGGAGTAAAAATGAAACTTCCTAAACAAATCTATAATGTTATCACTTAGGAAAATTATAAATATCATTTTGTTGCATTGTTTCTTTGGTAGA